TTAAAATATGTTGTATTTTCTCAGCACTTTGCGTAAAATTTGTTTTTGATATCGGCTTTTCTCTTCTTCAATTTCATTTTTATTCATATTCAAATACTCAGATTCAATATTCAAAGATAAATCTATTTCAGTTTAGTACATGAAAATTGCATGAAAAAGTAATTAGTCAAACTTAAGATTTCGTTTCTATTGTTTCATAGTGTCACAAATACTCACAGCTTCATCTTCAAATAGTGAAAATAACAGAAAACGATTTAAATTTCAGCTTCTACAAATCTCTTTGGAGCTGGTAATTTAGTAATATTAGACTGAGTAATTGACATTACTCTATAGAATTTTGTATTGTTCGTTTTTGGACAATGTTTACGCCGGTGATTAGAAAAACAAAAGTAATGATTCTTTATCAATCGAAGAATGTTTTCTTTCCTTGACAAAGAAGCATTCATTTTAATAAACACGAGTTTTACACTTCGGAAAGGCTGAAAATGTAAATGATTGCGTGTGCTATTATTAGTCTTAAAGCTTAACACTACATCATTATTTCGAAAGAGCACCTATGGCGTATGAATTGCTGTTAACATTTAAACTAGAAGTTGTGTTCAACTTCACAGAATCACGAATATAAAAAAATACCATAATTTGGAAAAAAACGTAAAATTTGGAAATGAAGTTGCAAGACTCTTATAATACATATCAAAGTTCATATTTTTTTCTCTCTCTACTAGATCTGTGACAGATCACGGCTCTATAACCCGGTTCTTTGTTTTCAAGAACTGGGACCAGTGATGAACTCTATTTTTGAGAACTGAATGTATGATGTAATGTGTGTGAGTGTGATATTGGGTGTCAGTCTTCATTTCACCCAGGTCCAGGCCAGTAGTTAAAGTAAAAAATTCTAATCAATCATGATTTCATCCTTGTAAGATTTTGTTTTTTCTCTTTCGTTGATACAATATTTCATTTCTATTTAGTAATTCCATATGAAATTGAAGTAACAACTTCAGATGAACAAAATTCTGGAACGACACAATATGGATGGATCATTATTGAAGGAACTGAAAATAGATCAGAGAAATTCTATATGAGAAATATACCGCATAAAAGGATCTTACGACAGTAAGAAAAATTTGTGAACATTATCTTTTATTAAAATCAAATCTCTAGTGGACAAACTGATACATTTACATTCAAATGTCGACCACTTGGTGAATTACGTCGTATTATTTTGGGTCATGAAGAACGACCTGAATATTCACTTAGAACATATAAAGAACGTGAAGTTAAGTGGCATGTTGCACATATTACAATAACCGATCTTTCAACAAGCACTGTGTAAGAATTCTATTATTGAGAAAATTTTTTTTTCTATTTTTTTAAAATTTTCTCTAGATATTATTTTCCTATAAAACAATGGATTGATATCAATAATAAAGGCGATGTATTCGATTGCGCTGATGAACAAGAAGAAAATGTAGTACAGCAATATATTCGTCAAGCAGTTAAGTATAAAATTATTGTTCATACTGGTGATGTCTTTAGTGCTAGTACAGATGCTAATGTATCAATTATTCTCTATGGTACTCTTGGTGATACGGGTATTCGACCATTGAAAAAAAAAGGTCGAAAGTTATTTAGACGCGGTCAAGTTGATGAATTTATTATCGCATGCTTAGATTTAGGTACGTTCAATCTTGTTTGATGCATTTTAAAAACAAAAATTTTCATTCAAAATAGGTAAACTGAATAAATTACATATTGAACATGATAATGCTTATTTTACACCTGATTGGTTTCTTGATAAAGTTGAGGTTGTTGATATGGAAACAAATGAAACAGTTGTGTTTCCATGTAATCAATGGCTTGGTAAACAACATGATGATCATCAAATTCATCGAGATTTAGTACCTATGGATGATTCATAAATAAGTGATATTTTATTATCTTTTTAAAACTTATTATGAATACAGGGTGAACATGACTAAAAACTATCATTTTCTTTCTTCACAATAAAAATATGAAAAAATACGATACATAGAACGTGTGTTTTTATGTATTTCTTTCAACTTTCTGCTTGATAGTATATATATCGCCGATCCTTTCTTGTGACGTTGCTGCTTTTAATTAAATAAACAATAATTTTGTTTGTTGCAGAAAAAAAACCCTGATTGAAAATCGTATGAAAATGGAAAAAGTAAGTTTAATTTTAGTCTGAGAGGCAATAGAATTCATAAAGAAACGATGAGTAAATCGTGGTATCATTCGTTATCAAAACTTGAGCTTGAAAATTTAGAATTGTCTCATTTTTATAGCAAGCTCAAAGGTTTCTGTGGCAGTCTGCGCACTCTCTAGTCACTACTCCTTGGGAAATCTCCGGGGTTTTTGGGGGGGGGGGGGGAGGATGTCCAAGGAAGGTGGGCGAAAGGGGGGACGGGGATTTTCCCCTGTCACCCCACCCCACCGCC